GTCTCCACCTCCATAGCTCCAACTTCTTCCTCCGATGAGTCTGAATCCACATGGAAAGTCTCTGATTTGGGTCTTTTTCCCCTAATGGATTCCACCATACCTTTTGCCACTGCCTGTTTTATCAAAGAGTCTATATTCTGTGCAGAAGTTGAGGCTTGTGGTGATTTACTTTGCTTCGTCTCACCAGATATATGGGCCAAGCATTTCTTGCAAAGTCTGGAATCAAAAATAATAATTATGCTCAACGTTGCAGATGATTTTGCCGAAGTAGGAGAAATGTCTATGATACCACTTGAACTAAACCATAATAGAAAGTACAAAAAAAAAAAATTATTTGCAAAGGAAATAAGATTTTTAACCTAAAGTTACATTAAAATTTGTCCAGTATCTTACCTGCAGAGCTTAAGAAAAGGCAGCTAAGAGACCAAAAAAACACTTTGCATACAAGGAAGCAAGAACTGTAATTACTTACAGTTTGAATCTCGTGCTTCCACGCATTTAAATCTTCATGCATGCTCAATAATGCTGTGAATGCCCCGTCCTCCATCTTGAAAATGACAAACTAAGGGCTATTCGTGGCCGCGCATGCGTGAACGCTCCTGAACTGGCGTTTTTGTTCCGGAAATGGCTTAATGATGCCCAGGCGTAAAGTAGGGTAGACTGAAAGGTACTAATCCATAGGCTATTTGCTAGGATATACTGTCTGCAGAGTGGACTAATCTCAGCAGTCTCCAGGAGTCCCCAGTTTCTTGAAGGTGGGTTACATGTGCCTAGAGCTTCCTGGAGAGTGAGGTTGACATCTCCAGGGATAAGGACTAAATCAGTCAGGTAAGCATAAAAGAAAAATGTAAGAAAATAAAAATTCAGAAAGAACAACTGTCCAAAGGCTAAGAGGACAGGAAAAAAAACTAAGGTGCAGGGGCTGATGGGGGTACTCTTATACCTGCCTACATAATTGTTTAATTGCTTTTCCTGTCCTATTGGCTGGAGGGAGGAGCTAACCCATTAGTTAAATGCTGCCATGATTAGCCTGGAAAAGATATTAATGACATGACCGCTCAGTTTAATTTAGCAGAATATTTTGTATCAATATTTAGCATGCATTTTTATATTTGCAATACTATCACACCATGAAAAACATGTCTTATATCTAGTAAAGATATACACGCTTATCCATAGGAATAACAACAATTGTCTGGCTTATTTACATTTCCATGACATTATGTATTTTATTTTATTTTTCAATATCAATTGGTAAAATGTTATTCACAGCATTTTCATATGTGACTATAGTCTTCCATAAATCTATTAATCCTCATTTAATATTAAATAGATTAAACATAATTATCATTGTAATCTCTGTAAAACTCACATATGTCAAGCACTTCACAACTCATTTTGTAATCTTTTCCCAGAATTAGCATGATATTTTGAGTTTGCACATAAGAACAAAAAAAGGTTGCTCAAACTTATAATTGTCAATTAAAACTTAACATTTATTAAATCAGTTTAAAAAGTAAATAAGTGTAAATTCTAATTTTATACGACATGCCATCCTCTTAAGAAGCACTAGATAAAGTATTAATATTGGTAAAGAACTTTGGGGGGAAAAAAGGAGGAGGGGAAGGGAAGGGAAGAACAATTAATAACACTAAGGAATAATGAAAAAAAAAAAAACATAGACGAGCATTGCCGGCCAGACTATGATCTAAACATAAAGAGTAAATTGAAACACTATCTGTATTTTGCATTGGTAAGTAAATTGTAAGAAAGTGGTTTGAAAATTGCAACAGTATCCACTTAAGTTGTACTACCCTTGATACTAAGAATGCTTACCAAAGTGAAATGTAATGATCATAGAAAAATAAAACTTAGCAGGATAATGAATCAAAATAAAATCGGAATTTAAGTTTGCAATAAGGTTGTGAACTATCCTGTGCCTTCGTGGGCACCTATGTTAAGTAGCAACATCTAATCTGACTAATGTAGGCAAAGTAAACAAAGAGCAATTCTTATTAATTGCTTATAAAACCGATAACAGCTTGAATCTTAACAAAAGTGTATATATTGTCACTGAGATGATTTATAGTTAGTGAGCTGTTAGGGTCAAACCAAGCTGAGCCATGATGTACATTTCACCGTTCAAGCAACTCTTCAAGGTGGATCGTGTTTTGAGTTTATTGTACAACATTACGTGTCTTGCCTAATGACACTAACTGGCAAGATGGTCTGACCAGGATTTTAATCTGGGTTTCCCTTGTCTAAGGCAGCGATTTCACCACCAGACAACCAGACAGTTGTACGCACAGCAACTCCCATTCAACTTTTAAATTTGAGTCATTAAACGATGGCTTTTGTTGATCTACGTATGTAAAGGTAACTGAAAAACTAAAAAAAAATAAAAAAATAGATAGATAGATATAAAAATTATAATTTGCTGTGTTAACATTTTCTCTAAATGTATTTTTTTTACCAGTCCCAAGTACTGATTATCTCTCATTTTCTGTCTTGCCCCCAATGGAACTTTTCGGAAAGTGCTGATATATAGGAAATGATTACACAATAGCATTTGCAATTGTATGAGGAATGTCCACATCTCATTAAAAAGAGAAGCATGTATAAGACAATAGACATACCTTGCTGAATCATAGGCATTAATCACTAAATCACAGTAGAATTTATATTTTTCTTTCTATCGGCCCCTTATAAAATAAGTAATGATTTTCTTTGGAAAAATAAACTGGTCACTAGAGATTTGATATAAAGAAAAACCTAAGCATTGCAGAGAATCTGTTTTTAAGTTCAAGTACTATGGCTAATTTATTTTCTTGGGCACCTTTCCCATAGAAATATGGTTTGTAACTGTGTGAGAAAAGAACACTGAAAACCAAAATATAATATTTTTTTTTTTTAACTCAAACCAAAGCATTCATTTAATTCAACATACAAAAAAAAATATGTTTTATGCAGTTTGGTAATTCCTGTAGATGTAACCCTGAGGTTCTTGAAATTCTACAGAGATAAACAGAGATAATGATGAATATTGCATTTTGTCATATAATTCACCCACTTTAAATTATTATGGGTTGCACTTTACAATAAGTTAGCTGTCTCTGATACCAGTTTAACAGTTACAAATCTGAATTAGTAACAGAGGGTTGGGTGTGATTTTGTTGTTGTAGCAATAACAGCTTGGATTGTTTCTAACCTAGAATCAGTAGCAGAGGCGTAACTAGAAACCATGGGGTCCTGGTGTAAAAATTGCGATGTATGTCTCCCAATGGAGTGTTTCTTTAACCCATTAAGGACACATGACAGGTGTGACATGTCATGATTCCCTTTTATTCCAGAAGTTTGGTCCTTAAGGGGTTAAACAATTTAAAGAGACAATTGCTCTGCATTCGTTGGTGACATCCGAATCAGCATTGCCCAAAAGTGAACCTAACACATACAACACCACAGGCAGCTTCCACTACACACATAAACACACACAAACCCCTCTCCCAGCATAGTCCCTCTTTTGTCCTTTGTTGTCCCATTTATGGAAATCCCAGAGAGCAAAAGAGGGACAGGGCTGGTAGAAGGTGTTGTGTGTCTGCATCGAGGCTTTGTGGTGTTGTATGTGTTTGGAGGTTGCTTGTAGGGCTGCACACGTGGAAGATGCTCCTTATGGTGTGTGCTGCATTGGGTTATATGCTCGTGGGGTTGTGTGTGAAAATAGAGGCTGCTTGTGAGGTTGCATGTGCAGATGGGATTTATTGCAGCGAAGTATGTGTGCACAGATGGCTGTTTGTGCTGTATTTTGTATTTTGTGTGAATAACAGCTGAATTGTATATACAGGGTTTGTAGTATATGTGGTGGGTAGAGGTTGGAGTGTGTGTATGGATGATAGAGATTTTACTGTATGTGGAGGAAATAAAAGCTGCAGTATGTGTGTGTGATGAGTATAGAGGTTGTAGTTTGTGCAGAAGGATAGTGGTTGTAGTTTTTTGGCAGGAGTATATATTGTAACTATGGGTATATAGGGGCTGTAGTGGCTGTAGGTGATAGGTTCTCTAGTGGGTGCAGGAGGGACAAGGGAAATAGTGGGTGCAAATAAAATAGGTGACGGTGTAGTGAGTGCAAGAAAAATAGGAGCTGTAATTGGTGCATGGGGTATAAGGGCTCTAGTGTGTGCAAAGGTAATAGTAGCTGTAGTGTGTGCAATGGGGATAGGAGCTGTAGTAGATGGGAATAATGACTGTAGTTGATATATGGGGTAAGAGCTGTAGTTGGTGAAGTAAGTGTAGGGGCTAAGGTGGTGCGGGGGATACGGTTATTATAAAAAAAAATCTTTATATTAAATATAAAATTATACTTTTCCTGAAATTGGTTTATATCCACCCCTCCCTATTGCACTCCTTTGTCAGGTGGGGAAATGCTTGTCGCTGGTGGTCCAGTGGGCTGATCAATAATTGCATCCCAGTAAGTGCAGACTGAGCACCTAAGGTGCCTAATTAGAGATCCACCCCTGCATTCATGTACATATGAAATTGATATTGTTAGGGGAAGTACAACTAGTGAAACTAGTAGAGGGTAGAGCTCTGATGCATCTAGGGACTCTGATAGGCATAGGGTCAGGCCTTTAGTGCCTTGAGGGTTACTGCTTTTTTAAAATTGCTTTAAAATTATTTGGCCCAGAACTAAAGGTGGTGCCTACTAGCAGCATAAACACTACAGAAACATGTTGTTATTATGATGCTTAGAATGTTCCATTTCTGGGCCAGACACCTGAACCCAAGACTCCAGCAGGCGAACCAGTCACAGTGGAACTATTTAAAAGCATGCTTGCCGAACTCCGACATAACTTGACACGGAACACCCTCATGTGGCGGAAAACACTGCAGCCACTCCTGCAACACCTATGTTCCCTTATTGATGGGGAACTCCTAAGCTCTTACTGTTCACACACCCAGGGACTCATTATAGTGCTAGGAGCCTACAAGAGTTGGACTCCCACATGCAGAAGCTGGGCCTACACGGCAGAAACACAGATCGAGCCTGTCTCAGATGGATCCCTCTACCATGGTGGAGTTTACTCCCAGAGCAACACAGCATATTCCTTCAGGAATGGATACCACCTGATAATCTCCGGTTGGCGGAGAAGAAATCCATTCCCACCCCAAGGGTACTCCATTTACCACCACCATGATTTATAATGTATTTACTGTTATATAGCTACTGTTCTGTTTTATCTTTGTGTTACTTTTTGGTGATTCTGTGTTCCTAGGTCATATGCCGATAATTATATGAAAGCTGCGTGGCTAATTAATTGAAACACATGCCACATGACCTGCTCACATACCCACACGCAGATAGTTATTTGCAGCGGTGCTACACAAGACAGCAACTTCACCTTCCCTCCCCAGATTCAGCTTAGATCCACATTTGACTACCATCCTATATCTCAGGAGGGAGTGTACCCATGGAACACTTTCACCTATCCATATTGCTTTCTCAGTCGGGCCCACACAGTGTCCCAGGGAAATGACGATTATTCCTTACTTACTTGATGCTTTAACATGTTATTTTTTTATTTTATATTTTGCTAGGCCACTTTTATCTCATGTCTAAACCCCTCTAACTATACTCACTATTATTGTAATTGAGGACATGTCAGTCTAAACTGTTTCTCTACTATGCCACTGCTGTTGCGTTTGTGTTCCTTATTGTGCTGTTGTGGCATCTAACGCTGAATTGTGCTTACGTGCACAAAAAAACAAAACAAAACAATACACATCATTGAAAAAGTAAAATTGATGAACTTGAAAAAGCAAACATTTGTTAAAGTAAATAAAATGCATTTAAATCATTTACATTTAAATCATTTATATGCTTTCTGTGTGTTATTGGTTATACATTACTAGGTAAAATAGAACATGTTATATATGTTACATATGTTTCTATGTTTCAAATTCACATCACTTTTCACCAGGGCTCAAAATATGTAAATACAAGGTAAACCAGTGAATTGAGATTAGAATAACACAATTTGAAATAGAATAGGTGTGACTATAGCAGATCTTGAGATATTTTCTATTCTTGCCTAAACTATGCCATTCGGAATTCAATTCAGTCTAAGTTTACTTAATGCCATTATCTAGATAATCCTTTACATGAACAAAAATAAATAAATAAATAATCATGCATTTATTAAAAAAATACCCCAGTTAGAAAACAGACCTTCCTGCGAACAAATACTTGAAGGATGCCTCAAATAAAGTATAAATAAAATGATTTAAAACATGCTTCATAATGTAACTTCATTGTTATAGATAAAATCATAGGTAATGGCTTGAAGAGTATACGTAAAGGAGTTGGCACTTAGTACGTGTGAGAATAACACTAAACATTAAAAGCTTTTATTCTAAAAACAAAGTTATCTAAACAACCATCTGTTTCCTCGATGTTGAACTCTTTCTTACATGTAATGTTTGTGATAGTAATAGGTTTCTACCACATTACACATTGTGAATAATCAATTGCTTGCTATCTGCAATAGCAACAGTTTAACATTTTTAGAAATTTTATTCCATTAAGTGCAAGAACAGTAACGAGGACATTAGCAAAAGCAACACATTTAAGTACAGGAAGAATTTTTGTAAAAAAAATACAAAAGCTATAGAAAAGGGACCACCTCTCAACGAACCACAAAAGAGTAGAATCGGCAATGATTCATTATTACACAGTACTAACGTTGTATAGTTAAAGGAAATGTTAAACAGTGTATGGAATAATGCAGACAAGCATAAACAAGCTAAATGATAATGATATTAGATGTTACAGCACTCAAGAGAGTAAACAGCATAATGCTATACAGCAAGTTTTTTTTCTTCAATACAAATTCCATTAGCAGGCTTGGAAATGTTAGTAATTCAAGATTATACTTTTTGTCCTCACTTTTTTCCGCTTTCTGTTGCGCTTCTGGGAAATATAACCTAAACGTATGTAAGGACCAAAAGTAACAGTCTTTAACCAGGAATGAAAGAAACTTTTTTATTGTTTTCAAATATGATGCATAATATTTTTTATGAATATCCAACCCAGTGATTCACATTTTTATTAACCACTTAAGAATATAAAAATGAGTTGACTCACATCAATTTTGTATCCTTCAGCTTTGAATAGGTCAGGTACTACCAGGGCTGGCATGACCGGTAGGCAAACTGGACAGTCACATGGGGGACATAGGCCCTGGGGATGCAATGTTTGGGTGACTATCAGTAGCAGAGTGCCCTGCATGGTCATGGGATCTAGCATAGCCAAGCCACAGACTGCTGTGGAGGATCTTCTGTATACTCTACTGTCTGATAGGAAATGCTCACTGAGAGCACTGAGCAGCTTCTTGAAAGACTGAGTAGAGGAAATGACTTGGCTACACTACATGAAGGGAGGTGAGCTGACATGAGGTAAGAGACAAAGAGACGCACAAAGGTCTGAGGGGTGGAGGGCAAAAAGGTGCATAGCAAGAGACACATAGAGGGCTGAAGGGAAGAAGAAGTACACAGAGGGCTTAAGGGGTGGAAGCAGCACAAAAAGGGCTGAGGGAGGAGGCGCAAAGACAGCTGAGTGGGGAGACACAGGGAGAGTTGCGATGAAGAGGCACAAAGGGCTGAGGAGAATAAAGAGGCACAGAAGGCTGAGAGGGAGGACAAAGGCACACAGAGAGCTTGGTGGGAGAGGCATACATAGGACTAAGGGGGCGTGAAAGGCACACATAAGGGCTGGAGTGACATAGAGGCAGACAGAAGGGCTGGGGCAAAGACACACAAAGGGGCTGGGGTGAGAAAAGAGACACAAAAAAGCTGCTTGGGTGAGAAGAGAGACACAAAAAGGGTCTGGGGAGAAAGGGACAAAGGTGTAACCTTTTGCTTTGGGTGTGGGATGTAAGTAGCTGATCTTGCCTAGGGAGCAAAATAGTCTTGCACCAGCCATTAATACTCATGAAGGTGCATTGAACAACTGAGCTTTATCTGAACTTTATCTTCACTCAAACAGTGTTTTAATAGGAAAAACCCATTCTTCTTTTAATTTGTTTTTAAATGTGCTCCTTTTATGCAAATATAACCCTAAAACAATAATTTATTGTAAAAATCTTCAAATGTTGCAAGTCTATAATGAAAATACAGTATTCAAAATAATGATTGTATTAAGATTCACTGATTAACCACTAGATGTCTCTGCAGAAAGCAAATCAACAAAGGTACAATACTTTATTTGTATAGACCTATTAGGATTATAGTTTTGGATTTAATTTACATTTCAATACATTTACACTTGGCCTTGGGTTGAAATATAGTGTCGTGTAATAAAATAGTAGTAAGTAGACTTAGTTCTGTTACTAGAGACAGAAAGACAGACAAAAAAATAAGGTCTCCTAGTAAAGGTGGTTTCTTGGGAAAGACGTGGAAATTAGCTTTATTCAGTATTAACTAAGGAATACAAATGCTAGTGTTGTGGTAAATAGAAAGAGTGGACAGGGCAGTGGTTTCAGGTTGGTTTCCAACCTGATTTCTTTCTATCTTTTAAGGTGCACAGCACCCAACATTCCAAAAGGACAAAGCAGGTCACTATAATTTTAGGTGCGTGTGTGTTTGGAGGTGTGTTCTGAGGTATGTTAGGTGACTTACTAATAACAATTTATACAACTAAAATGTAATTAAGAACAAGCACAATGTATCTTTTTTTTCCTAAACATATTTATTGTAGTTTAAAGACACATTACTGGGAGTATTATTGCCATGGAGCTCTATTATACACCCAGACTCAGCAACAATATGAAGCTCCTAGAAAAGAGGTACATTATAATAGAAAAGAGAGACTGATGGATTTAGGCCCAAAAAAGATACTGCCACTTCTAGAAAGGGACTTTTGGGAGGGATGGGGGAATAGGATGACAGATAGCAACATAAATGTTGCTGTGCTCTAGTCATTGTCTCAATGTTCACTACAATCCCACCAACCATGTTAGTTCCATAATCATCAATGGTCTGTAGGATCCTCATACGCATGTAGTTTGGATGAGAGGGTTAATCCATAATTAGCAGTTTTTCAGCAGATCCACATCTGCCAAAAAACAACAACTCAGTGGTTCTCCAATCATCTTACCCACTTGCATAGTTTTTTTTAATAATCCTCTTTGTTCTTTATCTGCTTTTTACATTTAAGGACTTTTCTGAATGTGTTTCACTGTGTATTCTATGGAGTCTAATTAATGGACTATATAATTCTAAACAAAAGCAAAGCTTAAAAAAAAACCCCACAAAAAACAAAAACTGAAATCCATCAGCAGGGAAGATTGGCATGAATAATGTACTATTAATCGAAACATTTACATATTTTTGTCTTTTGGTAAATATGCAGTTGAGATATGTTCTTTTTCAAAGATAGTCATAAATATACTGTACTGCATATGTAATAGTAAAAAATCAATAAATTCCACCAACATACAGCAATATCCTCGACTCGATCCTGTTATTCAGAAAAAAACAGATATCATTTCAAGCTTTGTCAGTGATATAAGTTTCCATTTTTCTTTTTAAATCATTTTATTTTATGATCTTTTAAAGCTGATTTTTTTCCAGTCCATTGGTTAAAAAACTGAAAAAAAAAAAGAGCCAGATAAAATTCTAACTAATATCAGACATGAGATGGAGAAATGTTTTATTCATGAACCTTGTACCTTTAGTGAAATTAAAAGCAAAGGATAAAGTTGGAGCTTTGAACCCTGTATCCTAGATCCTGCAGACCAATAAAGCCTTTTTATTAGCTATTGATATTTATCTATGACTTGCTTTAATAACATCTTATTCCCTATTTTCTCTAGCCATCAATATTATTCCAGCATTGCCATTCAGCTCTTTATATCTTCGTGCGGTAGCATTATAAGGGTCCATAAGCCCAATTTGCTTCACATTTTTAGTTTTGGAAAAGGCTGGATGATTCTTGAAATAAAGCAGCTGCCAGGAATGTTTGACAGAATTTGTTGCCCATGTGGCTTATAATCTACACTCAATATCATAGAAAACTAAACTCCCAGACCAGCTGATAAGTCAAACCATAGACAAGTGATAGCTGTAATCTTTTTTTGCGTTTTCTCATTATAAAAAAGGACATCATTCGGAATCT